AGACTCTGTCGGGAGGCGGCAATTGTCGAAACTTCGGCACAAATCCTGCGGCGATCTATCGTTGACCGCTGAACTGCAGGCACCCCAGCTTGTCAACAATTGCAAGAGCTCTACGAGCGATCTGCAGGGAGCAGATCTGTATCCCGCCTCGATCGAGATACTTCCGATTGACCCTGATGCCTGTCGCCGTGACCGAATCACCAGCAGCCCTTTGTTCGATCAGACGAGTCCGATTGGCGGACTTCACGCCGCCGGAAGCGCGCTTCCGTCTACGGTCTACGGACCGATTCCGTACAGTCAGTAAACATGCGCATAATTTTCCTGAAATAATGCTCTTCCTGCCGCGCGTAAATAGCCGCGCGCCCCGTTAGAATCGCCTCGGCATACCTAGCTGTTGCTGGTGTCGTTGGCGCAATGATTGGAGAGAAGGAGAGAGGAAAAACTAGAGGAATACATAAGTAGAAGCGTGCTCCACCAATTAGGTAGAGCAGCATTATCCTTGCCGGAACGTTGTTTTAACTTGGAAAACTTAACAAGCTCACGTTACGCGTTCGGATTCGAGTCGATAGAAATATTTGCAAACATATCTGTATCAGATATATTAAAGCACGTATATTAAATTAACTTCGATATATTAAAGTAATTTGTGTTGTATAAAAAATACCTTCGCCAGAGCAATTGGAATCTTTCAAAGCACCGATATTTTGTTTGTGAATTTTAGTAGGTAAATTTAATTTATCTGTAAAAAATAAATAAAATACAATACATTCAATTGCTGTGTGATGGTAAAAATTCGTTGAAGCTTTGACAAGTATACTAGAATTCTGTTAGATTTTTATATAATCCGGAACAATAAAAAATTTTTTACATATTGTTTCAGTTAGATTGTGCTGCAAGTACGAAAATAATCGGCACGTATTTCTCAGATAAATTTATTTATAAAAACACATCTAGATTTATTATTCCACATCTAACTTTGATCGTAATTGGCACTTTTTTTATTTGAATAATAAATTTACTCTGCTTCTCGAAGAGAATGATTAAAACTTCATGTTACCAGCGATTAAAGATAATTGACGACATAAATATCAAGTCGTAAGGCGAAAAGCTTACTTCTCATAATCCACAAAAAATTCTAGAAACGCGTCGAGAATAGAACGGTAAATCGAAATTAAATTATATGAGCAGAGGATCAGATAAAAAGAATAATAAGGTACCGTAACATAATAGTCTTGGCACAGGATAAGCGCGAGAAACAGAGAGATAGAAAAAGAATCGATCGCGTGAGAATCTCGTTCAATGAAAGCGGTGAAAGGTGTTGCGGCGTTTTGAGAGAGAGAGAGAGAGAGAGAGAGAGAGAGAGAGAGAGAGAGAGAGAGAGAGACTGAAATTCAGTTTCTCGTTTCGGCATTTGTGATGAGTTAGCGTTACATGAGTTACTAACAAATCGGGTTACACGAATAATGATGGCACGAAACAAAGTAGTTTTGCAGAATCGCGGCAGAATCCAGCGAGATTTCACTGAAGAAGGACAAAAGTTTGTGATTTGAAATGTGATCCGATAGAAGAGATTTTTTAAAAAATTATTTTTATTCCATGCATTTGTTTTATCTATGATATTTTTCTGTTATTGTACATCGCGATGATTCCCACTTCAGCTGTTCGGGATGAAAAATAAATTCCTTGCGATTGGAACCTGCGAGTATCATATGGAACTATTTGGAATGGATTTCGCTCGAAATTATTTAATTATTCTCTAGAGTTCTACACTGAAAAGAGTCGGATACTAGCCAAATATTGAGTGGAATAATCAAATGTTAAATCGATTGATTTAACCATAGATAATGTTACTTTTCTAAATATTTAATTACCAAGTATTACCAGAAACGTAATAATTATAACTAACCGTTTACTAATAATTAATAAATATTTAGAATAGTAAAATTATTCTAATTAAATATGAGAATTCCTACATTTGGTTAAAGCGAATTTCAATGCTTAAATATTTCTGTGTGAATTTATATACATATCTCTGATTCTGTAAACTGCGCGCCGAAATCTTTTTCGGTCTCGAAACGCATTTATGAGCAAAAATCAGAGTAATAATATCATTTATTAAATTGCCAAGCGATGTAATAATTTTTTTCACGCTGGTAAACATCTTTATAAGAATATTAATAACGAGATATTAATAAAGATCTGTTCAAAGTGAGATCTAAAATTATTTTTGATCGGATTTAATCGAACATTCGGTTGCAATTATTACACTCAGCGCATTTCACGGCTATTACCACGCTCTTTTTTTCAGCGTGTTGCGTTTTCTAGAACCAAGGAAGCATAGAATAACTTCTATCGCAATCCATTTCGAACGGTTCAATAGTACGTGCCCTAAAAGACTTTCTTGCCGGTTCGAACTTTCGCGATGCTTACGTCGACCTGTGTCATCGCGGCTGCGCTTTATTAGGAATTGATCGGTTGCAAGCTGTATTCCACTTTATCAGTCGCACGCTCTCGTTGCAGCCCGACGCACGCGGGAACGCATCGTGCCTGCAGATATGCACGCGCGTGTTGTTGCATCGCGATAAACTGTCATTATCCCGCGCACCCCACGAAAGCAGGTGCGTGCAAAACGCTTTTGTTCGCATCCGAAATACGGAGCTTCCTAGTTTTTAAATACTCTCGTGAGAGATAAAAGGAGGAGAAAAGAAAAACGGAGGATAAAGACAGAAAAATCGCGTCACGCGAATCGATATGCGGTCGTTAGTTCCTAAACATGCCTTTGCACAAATAAATAATAATCGTCTGTAAATGTGTTAAAAGCTACCGGCAGGGATATTTAGCGGAAGCTTCTACTTCTATGTCCCGGGTCGTTATAACTGTCGTTATAATTTTGCAAATATCGATGTAACAGACACTACGTAATAGAAACTCACTGCACTATGTCTTATATTTAGTTAGGTTGTATCACGTGCGCGTAGTCAAATGTAATCGAGCATTACATGAACTCATGTTCAGACACCGTATCTAGATTTTTGCCTCGTGCCGGTCGACGACCGCGTGTCGTAAGTATCGTTTCTCCCCGCGAAGAAGCCATATGTTGTAGCAGAATGAGATAAACAAGCGGGTGGTCTCTCGATGTGGGTTAAACCGCCGTCTTTCATGTGATTCAATTCTTCTTTCATGATATTATCTGGCGCTGGATATGATCGTCGCATGCTCTAATAACTGTCGGAACTTGAACACGATCAAACGTTAAAGGCACTAAAATCCCGTCTCTTGCGAATGTGATCTTAATAATCTGATAGCGAATTCAGTTTATTCATTTTGCATTACAGTACATTACGTGAGCGCGTACTAAAAGCTAAGAGCTGTTATACATGAAATTAGCAAAGTTAAGTGTAGAAGCAAAGCTAGACAAGATTCCCGATAATTTAAAATCTACAAATAATATTAAGTTAGTGCAAAAGCTCTGGCCCGATTTCAAAAAAGTTTTCATGTAAATTCAGAACGTAATACTTTACTCAAATTGGCAATTATAATATAATACTAATCGATAGAGCAAAATTTCAACTTTATTGAATCTGTTCCTTTTAATTGTGCGATACGATGATTTTTTACGAAGTTATGAGCCAAAGTCGAAGTGTTTTTTTTTTAAATTGTTTTTTTTTTAATTCGCGATAACTCACTAATAAAAAATCTCAGGAACATTAAAAAAAATTTTTGCAGGAAAAATTTTCACGTTAAAAATCGAACATTTTTGCAAATTTATTTAGAACATTAGAGATCTACAAAACGAGAAAAAAATTTCTTATTTCGTTCAGCTCGTAGTTTTCTATATGTGAAAATTACCAAACTCACAGAACTCAAAAAATATAGTGACCTTTCGAAAGTATAGATTTTAAGCTTTAAATCCCTTTTTTTAAATTTAAATTTTGTTTATTTTTAATAAAGTTGCAGTTGCTTGAATTTTGAATGACAAATCGAGTCAGAACTTTTGTACTGATTCGAAAATAGAAATCAGCGTTTATAAAGATATTTTTGATGGCTAAAAGAAGACATAACGTGACAGAAAAATATTTCAGTTCAACTTTATAGTCGTTATCAACAAGACAAAGCATACAAATCATATAATACTTTTCGCATTAATATGTTCCATTCACTGCGGTAAAAGCATGTAAATATTGTAACGATTAAATTACTCAATTATGACATTGTCACGCTATTTAACAGAATATGCAGGTATTATTTCATTGTCAAAGTTAATTACATTATGCCACTGCAGATATTTCATATAAAGCAGCATTTAATGTACACTAATTTAATGTAGAGTGACGAAATTCACCATGATATTGGACATTTTCCAGCAAGGATACAGTATAACACAGTGAATTATCACACCCATTGTTGTTTGCCAATGTTAAAAAAGAGTGAAATGATTTACTGTATTACTGTATTCCTTATAAAAAATTCTCTCTGTTATTAATTCGAATTAAAATAACATCCTTTATTATTAATTCGGATCACAATAACGTCCACGATTGAAAACAAAAAAAGTCACGATGTAAGGATCGTATTTCATACTTTAGATTGTCGCGAGTTATGAATCTGCGATCGACATCGGAACGTTCGCCATCATTTTTAATAATGACAGAGTTCACTGGAGCGGTTGACGACGACGATTAACTCGATGAAATGGCACGCGAATTTAAACCGCGCCCCAATAAAACGCGCTTCCGTCAATCGAATAATTTAAACCGAAATTAACCACACTCTCTCGCGTCGCATCTCGTCGTGCGTGCTATAGATCAGGGTTTAATCGAATCGAAATTAAATTGTACAAAAAAAAAATATATATATATATAGAAAGAAGTAGAGAATATCGTGCGTACATTAGAACGTCCTGTGCGAGACACAAAAAAATCTAACGGTCCAAACGCGACGTCCGTTCCGTTTGCGGATCAGGTCGATCGGTGACGATAAACGCGTCTCGCTTGATGCAGAATCGCCGAGGCGTTATGTGGAGGGTGAGGTGACGATTCACTATCGCTCGCCGGTGCGTACAGAGGCGAAGGAGCCGCTGAGCGAGGAGGAGCTCGCACGTCGCAGCGCGGAGAACATGCGGCGCGTCTACCAGGAGGAGCGCCGTCGCAAGTATCTCCAGGAGTTGCACGACATCGACTCCCGCAGACACACCGACAATTTTATGTAAGTACTATAAGGGTATCTCTTCCTCCTTCCTCTTCTCCCTTTTCATTCCGGGAGAATCGCGGTCGAAGGATGACGCCGGATCGAATCGTAGCCTTAATCACGTCATCCTTTCGAGCAAGGGCTCGAATTACCTTCGTCGATGAAGATACAAAAATCCTCGCTCTAACGACGTCGTACTAATTGGAAGACTCGTGTATCCTTCTCGCGTATTTTTCCGTGCTTCTCCGCTTTATTCTGTCAAACCCGAGAATATTTTCGAAGATGACGTTAATAGTAATGTATGGAGAAAGGCGTGTGCATCTTCATGCTTCTTGTCATACTCGGTCGTCGGCTCGTAAACATTTCCTGCTATTCAACGCCGTTGCGTAATGCATCGTGCACCGTGAGTTGTTTTTACGCGGGCGTTACAATGAAAGTGTAGGCGAATACACACAGGTAGAAAAGTCGAGAGAGATTTCATTGATGCTCGAGTAGCCCTAGATATTCTCAATAGCGAAATAGAAAGTCCCGAGTTTACTGAAAAGAAAATGTTTCATAAAATCCTGCCTCAATCTTTACCCATTCATTACTCGCAGTGCCCAAAACACGTCCCGGTTTCATAAATTTGCTAAATGAATGAAATTTATACACATTATTATATTTAGCACTAGTTGTTTTGTAATTTAAATGCAATTTTTTGTCTTTATCTTTATTTAAAGGGTACATTGAAAAAAAAAAACTAAATTTTAATAAATATTTGTTTGAATAGTTTTAAGTATTTACTATAAGTGTTAATATACATTTATTTCAAAAATCACTAATTTGATTCAACTTAATTCTTTTATTGAGTAAATATTTGTAAGTCAATGTTTATTTATATATATAGTAATATTTAAAGAAATATGTATTAAGATATAGGAATTAGTAAATTTTTTTTCAATGTCCATAAATGTGATTATCAATCCTTATCTAATTGTCAAATTATCAAACAGAATAATGAAAATTGAGATATAGTGTGGGGCTATCAGAAATTAAGCAATTATATTAGAAAAAAAAAATTACGTGGGTAATGTAGAGTTAATTAACGTCGTCGACTATTTGATTCTAAAAAAACGTATTGGCTGGATTTATCATAAATCCTAAAAAAAGACTACAAAGGACGTCGAAAGAATAGATTTACATTCCGCCGAGGCGCATTTCGACTGCAAGCACTCGATAATCGTGACAATGCCGAGGAGAGTTAGCATTTACTCGGAGCAAACAGAAAGACAATCCTAGTTCGCCGCGGCTGAGAGAAACCATTCCATCTTCTCGACAACACTTCAACAATTTCCAGACCATCACAGAAGTCACCCATACCACTGAATCGCTACGACGATTTCGTGGACGATTTGAGCCAGCGAAGTCGATCCCAAGATCAAACGCCGGAGCCGCGTCTGGTGGCAAGAGCGCTCTACAATTTCGTCGGCCAGTCGTCCCGGGAATTGACTTTCCGGCGTGGCGACCTTATATTCGTTCGACGACAGGTGGACAAGAATTGGTACGAGGGAGAATACAACGCGATGATCGGACTGTTCCCTTCCAACTACGTCGAGGTAATCGCCAGCTGAATCTAGATTTTATAAGGCATACAGAAGTGAAAGTTAGATATCTGGCAACAAAGTATGCTTTTACTAAGTTATCACTTTATTCTGTACAGATCCTACCGTACGATGGTACGATGCGAACGACACCAAAGAAGGCTCACGAGGGACAGGCACGGGCCAAGTTTAACTTTATCGCCCAGACCAATCTCGAGTTATCCTTGGCGAAAGGTGAGACTATGGTTGCGAGGAAAATTTCTCTAAACTCTTGACTCGAGGCAACGAAAGAAACTAAAGAAACTAATTTACTAAATAAATTACTGTTCGACATATTTACCAATATTTGTTCACAGGCGAATTGGTGGTCTTAACAAGGAGGGTCGACGAAAATTGGTACGAAGGACGTATAGGAAATAGAAAAGGGATCTTCCCGATTTCCTACGTCGAAGTTATCACCGAACCCGGACATCGATCAGGTAATTAAAATCAAAGAAGCCAGATTGATTTTTATGGCGGGGGTTTATTTTGAAAATCTTACAATCTTTTCTCTCCTGTTATAATTCATTATTTTATTACGTTCTTTGTCTCGCAGTATGACATTGTTTTAGCGCCACTATAGTAGCTTTCCCGTCTTGTAAGAGTTAAAAGAAAGCAGCAAAAAACTTGACAAAGTGATGTTAATAAAGTAATTCATTATATCATTACATTCCTTGTCTCAAAATGTGACATTGTTTCAGTGCTTCTCCTATAAAAGTTAAAAAGGCAAGAAAGAAACCTGATAAAGTGTTAATAAAAACATTGCTCGTCAAAATCGCGACGAAATTTGTATGAAATTTGACTTCTTTTATTTTAGAGACACCGATTCAGAACAAACCGGTCGCGTCTCCGGCGGCGCACAGTCTCTTAGCAAACGGCTCGTCCGGAGGGAAAATGAGTATGGGACCCCATCATTACGTGCCGTCCATCCCGGTCAATATCAACACAACCCAGCCCCATTATAATTCACTGGTAACTATCGCGCGATCTTGTGTTATGGCATAATTACTCCGCGGCGTGATTGAATCCTTCCCGTAACGTTTCATTATACCGTCGGATAACGGCCGGGAGACGCCATTTTCGTTGAAAGGGACAGTTCTAATAAAGCGAAAGCGTTTTATAAAATATACGTGTAACAATCCTTTCTCCTCGTACTTTTCAGCCACGTATGGGAGGGAGCAAGTTGCATGTGTCACAACTCAGCGAAACTCTACATATCGACACACATTCGGAACCGATCCCGTGAGTCTTGCAACTTTTTACATTTGAATGAAAACTTATACATTACATTAATTTTATATGACTTACCCACGTGTGGATCACCGATAATCTACGTTACCGTATTTATGTATTTGTTAAATAACATGTGTCTCACAATACTTATAGCAGTTCAAAAACCGGTTACTATACCAGCTATTACCGGTGATAATAATGAAATAATAATGAAAATTGCACGGTATACAATAATTACGTAGCAATTTATTTTAGAAAATATTTTATGATCGCGTTTCTTTTTATACATACTAAAAAATAACAGTGTTTACATAATTCTCACTGTGTTGGTGTTTAATGGGTTTTAAATCCACATCATGATGGTGTGGATATTATTATATCATCAGAGGTTTGAAATCCACACCAATATTTTTTAGAGTGTAGTAAAATGTATTAAATAGTCTGAATTGGAAGTCCAGTCGATCATCAGTAATTCACACGACACAGAATGCGTTAATAATTTTTTTGCACAAATATCGAACTCATAAGTATTTACATTCCGACAGATACCGGGCGTTATACAACTACAAACCGCAGAACGACGACGAGCTGGAGTTGAAGGAGGGCGACACGGTGTACGTGATGGAGAAGTGCGACGACGGATGGTATGTTGGTTCCAGTCAGAGAACCGGCTACTTCGGCACCTTCCCGGGCAACTACGTGGAGAGATTGTGAGGAAGGCCGACGGTCCAGGACGCCACGCGGCGCATCAGGACCCAGGATAGCTTTCACCAAAGCACTAAGCGTTAGAATAAGCACCAAATTTCTCAACGTTTAACCCAATCGTTTCTGACATTACGAAGATTTCCGCAAGTTAGAGCTAGCCAGAAGAGACTTTTGTTGAAGGGAATTCTAATATTTTTTTTATTTTCTTTTTTTATTGTAAAAGTGAAGAACGGACATGTATATAATACGCATGATTGTAACTCCTGCATCTTTTACGACGCGCGATTATTTACAAGCAGTTATGAGTACAATTTATTTTACAATTATTTATTTGTTTATTGTGCAGACGCACATTTGCAGTTTTATTTATTGCGATGCTTGAAAATTTTATGACATTTTTTAACAATTGATTTTTTTAATGATTTAGTTAATTAGATGATTTAATTAAATTTTAATAATTTTGCTGATACGGAAAAATTTATATTTTCAAAGTTACTAATGAGTTTCTTCTTTTAATTTTCGGTGACATCAAAGATTTACTGATCTTACTCGAATTATGCATTATTATATGTAATTTCACATAATACACTCGTAACTGTCGCGAAATGTTACTGATACAACGAATGAGACTTCTAATTAAATCCACGCGATTGCGTCGTACGAAAGTTCTTTCGCCGAGTTCGAATTAAAAGGTTTCGTCCAACGTCAAACGTTTTTATCGTTCCGAGCAATGAATAATTCGAGAGGCGAGAGGGTTAAGCGGGATCCACAGCAGGAAGTGAAGAAATGTCACAAGAGTCTTCCCTTTTGAATCTAACGACAATGTTAATTGATAACGCGGTTAGGATAAATGGTAGAACTGTCAGTGTTTGCGGCGTGGCGTAATGGGGCTCTCGTGTGATCAGAGTTACTGTTCGTATATTAGTAGATTATCAACTAAGATATTGATGTTTCATTAGTATATATATTTCCTCGGTATATACTTTTGTTTTAAAGTTCATTCTTTGTTACGATATGATATCTACACAGTCAAACGCATGTTAACGATATTCAAAAATATCGATGATAACCGCTGATCATATCAGAGCCTTTTTTTGGCGTCGAATTTACCAAAAGAATTTAGCAAAATAGTACGCTAGGATACGTGAGTTTGTAAGTAAAGTTTGTAAGTAGTGTACGATAACAATTAGTAACTTATTGTTACTGCTGTTCTTGGCAGCTGTTAACTTAATTCAGAAAGAATGAAAAAAAGAAGCAAAAAATGGGACGTGGGATGAATATAACATAAGGGAGAGGGTTTCCGAGATATTAAAGGAATAATGATTAGTTTGAGATTTTTGGGCCATATACTCCGAGATGGGAGGTTAATTAGCACGCGGAGACTTGTGTTGAGTTAGAAAGACGCGGACGGAAGTTTCCCTATGATTTCGGTATTGTAGATAAAATCGGTCACTGTTATTGTTGCATTCGTGAGTATTTCGAGACTAACGGACTTATAATTGAAAGTTTGCCTTCCCAAATTAATATTTTTGTAAGCATTATTTGTACCCAGAGTTATATATAAATATACAACATATACATATATATATATACCGTAGAGATATATCTATATATACACACACATATATATATATATATATATATATATATATATACATATACATACAAATATCGTTATACTGTACCACGCGATAATATATAATATATAAAAATAACATACACATACATTACGAATAATTAGTGTCGGACGTACATGGAAAAATGTGTATATACATACGATTAACAGCTATATACATTCATACAATCGCAATGTGAAAATAGCCAAGCCAGGTCGTCACGATCTTTTCTAACGTCCCACTTTATCACAATCGCACGATCGCCTAAGCGTTAAAGGAAGAGACGAACGTAATCGGGAAACAGACAATACTATTACTATAATAATTATAGAGGAACGAAAGAGAGATCATGTGACAAGGGCATTATATAGGCGCCGGTAGATTCGAAAGCGATAGGTGCCGTTTTTATCTTCGAAAGAAGCTAAGAAGAAAGCCGTCTCTCTTTTCATCGCCTCGTGTCTTCAGCGTACAATTGAGCAGTGGAAGCTTGGTGCAAAAGCACTTTCTCATTCAAAAGCACAGTGGTTTTGAAAGATTTGATCTATTTTACTACATCGAATGGCAAGATCAAATTTCCTTTCGATCGGTAAATCGAAGAGACATGATATATTCTCCAACATTCAAAGACACCGCTCGATGTGCGATGAAAATGCGACAGAGACATTTCGTCTTGCGTGCAACATATGCGCATATATCCACGTACATATCCCGTTAGATCGTAAAACTTACGGTCTCAAGTTCAACATTACGAGTCATCGAAATAAAAGCCAGGATTATCGTCGATTTTATGATATCGTCGAATCTATCTCTCGGCCTTTCTTCTTGTTACATTTTTTTATTTATGAAGAAAGTGTTGACGGTCCCAAAACTCCTAACGGAATATCCAAACGATATACTGAGTGGTACTCGTTGACGCTGCAATGTGACATTCGTTTTAATTGCTACAAAATATTTGAAGAAAGTTGATAATATTTTCGCGATACAACTTTCGCCTTACACGAAAAAGATTTTATTAATATAGGTGAGTAAGTTATCAGACTAAATGTTTAAGATATTTAAGACTTATTTCTTTTTATTCGAGCTTAACTTTGACGATTTTGATTTTTGTAATGATAATATCTGAGAAATCACTGACAAGTGTAGTATGGCCGTTTTTGAGCAAGATGACATGCTCGTCAGTACCGATAACGCGTGATTTTTGCTTGACGTTAAATCAAATTTCATCAGTTAACGATTTTGAATTCACTTGTTTTCGCAACTTGCGCTAACGACGTTACTATGTACTATATTAGATGCAAATAAAACCTAGTCCATTACTAAAAACTTGTTATCTCGCGCAATAACTTTCCTTTAAAACTGAACAAAAAAATAAACACACTTCAACACTTAAAATAAATATTACAGTTCCTTATCCATTTCTTCAACAAAATCCTTTTTGTAACACTGTAGTAATCATTCCACACAAATGCCATAATTTTCAAAGCGATAACGTAGATACTTATTGACTCTCTAAAATATAGCCATTGTGCTGGCTGATCTTTGATATAAAAAAACAATGTTTTTTAATAACTTTAATAACTGAAAAACAATTTTATCTTGAATAAATACGTACTTACAGATGATATTTAACCTTGTTAAAGAAGTAAAGACAAACATAGTTAAGAAACTGACAATATTACTACTACAATAATAATTACTACAGTTCAAGTAGCACAACCTACACAACGTTAAAAAAGCGATAAAAGAAATATATATAAGCACTTTTTTAAACATTTTACAGGCGTTGCTGTGCTATTTGGAAATAATTATAAAAGAAAGATGTAACAATTTTATAAAATGTACCGGTAAATTTTGTGTAAAAGTATTTTCTCATTGTTTGAAAGCACAGTGGTTTTGAAAAACTTAAATATTATATCTATTTTACTATATCGGATAGCAAAAATAAATTTTCTTTCAGTTTTGGTAAATTGAAAAGACATGATATCTTCTGGAATATTCAAAGACAGCTAAATACAATTACGCTCAATGTGCAATAGAAACATGACCGACATTTTGTCTTGCTTGTAACTCATGCACATATGTCCCAGTAAAGGGATATTACAACGTTGTTGTAATATCGGAATATTTTTCCTGCTTACACAATAAGGTACATATCCCGTTAGAAAAACTTACGGATTCAAGTTCAACATTATGAGTCATCGAAAGGATTCCTTTCTTCTTGTTATACTTTTTGTTTGTGAAGAAAGGGATGGCGATCTCAAAATTCCTATGAAATATCTAAACGGTGTAGTATATTAAGTGATTGATGCTGCAACATGACTTTATTAATACAGAGAAATAAAAAATTAAGACTTACTTCTGTTTCAACTTTGACGATGTTGATTTTTGTGGTGATAGTATTGAGGATGAGATCGGTGTGACGTTTTAGGCTAGATGACATGTTTGCCAGTAACGCGTAATTTTGGCTTGACAGCTAATCTAATTTCTTCAGTTAATTAACCTAGTCTATTACTTGTTATTTCTCCCAGTGTCTTCCTATTTCTTGTAAACTAAACGAAAAACAAACATATTTTAACATTTTAAATGAATATCGTAATTTCTTACTCATTTCTCCATTTTCCATTTCCTATTTCTTTTTATAATTTGCAATTTCCGTAAAACAATGAGATTTAAAAATATACTTAATAAAAATTTAACAGTGTAAGTATTATGTTCATAATTAATAAGTATTATTTCCATTGCACAATTTCTAGTTACAATAATATAATTGTAGTTGCACAGATACTATCGAAACTATAATATTGACAATTGATCACTGGAAGGATGCAAGCACGGTAAAATACGACATCGAAGTCTGTATAACCTTTAAAAGAAGTGCCAGTATTGTTAAAAGAGATTTCAAAGGAACATGTAGTACCATAAATTTCGTAAATAACATTTACCGTGGAGAAGTTCTTCAGAGAGAAAACATAAATCTTGCCAGCGCTCAAAAAACAGGGTTGCATGCTCCTTCGCATCACGAACAGGAACAGCCTTCGTGATTCCGCTGGTATTTCGTACCAGGAGGAATTGTATCTACAACAACTTTGTATTTCAGTCGTCAGCAAAAAAAAAAAATTTTCAGTTTCATCAAATTTAAGTGGTTAAAGTCTTACACTTTGTCACGCAATTGCATACTGTGATCAATCAGTCTCTGACCTTGCAGACTGAAGCAAAACGCTTGTGACATTTGAGCCAAGATATATATTATATGCTTCAGCGTTTCCCCACTTTCGTTAATATGTAAGGCGATCTCGAAAACGATAAAATACGATATTTTAATCTCTCGATACTTTAATCTCTTAACTATTAATCATATAAGTGTGAGTAACGTAAGACAATCTGCGAATAACATGACATACGCGAATATCAAATTGAATTTCAATGAGAAATAAACTGCATGTACTTGTAATAGAGTCATGCTCATTGTTACAGTTATTATCAGCATTTGTACGGCAAAAGCAGTGCAAGAGATGTCTTCAAGAATCTTCGCTAATCTGTCCAATAGGTGAAAACAATTTTAAAGTACAAATAGATAATTTCTTTTATATATATAAAGGGTGTCCCAAAATTAACGCAAGATTTGAATTAAATAGAAAACACAGTTTTTAGTCTTTTGATTGTTATTTTTTTATTGAATCATAAAGTACATAGGATAGGGTTATTTGTGGAATAACACATCGGGCAAATGGCCTCCACGGCTTTGCATGCACATACGCACTCGTTTGTCGAAATTTTCCATGACCATTTTGCATAAATGTGGCTGAATTTCGTTGATGCAGCGTTGAATCTCCTCCTTTAATGCACGGGTGGTTGTGGGCTTGTTGACATAGACCTGTGATTTCAAATAACCCCATAAAAAGAAATCTAATGGTGTTAAATCACACGATCTAGGGGGCAATTTTGGCGATTAACAAAGCCATCAAGGTGAAAATGTGCTTCATCGCTTAGGATGATTTTGCTCGAAAAATCAGCATCCATTTGTTGATGATTCAATAATCCATTCAACGAACTCATTTTCACTAACCCTAAACTGTCAGCTGTTAAATTGTTTTTTTTTTTGGGTTGCCAACACTTTACTGCACAAATGGCGGCAAATTCAAATCTTGCGTTAATTTTGGGACACCCTTTATATATATATATATATATGTGTGTGTGTGTGTGTGCACACGTTCTACTAATGCAGTATTGCCACTCACCGTAAAGCTCGCCAATGTGTATGAATGGAGCTCGCGATTTTCCGATCGTAAATCTTTCGGTCATTCAGACGATTATTCCCGACATCGTTACAATCATTACGTGATACTGTCTCAAGACGAAATCTGCGAGTATTTAGGCGACAACTTTGCTCTCCCAATCAGTCATGTTGAAACATAAGCAAAAAAGTACTGATTTTTCTTACCCAACCACAGCAAAGAGACTGCAGATATGCTCGCTGTAAGCCATAAACATGCAGTCGTGTGCGAGTGCGGCAATTAGAACTACCTGCACGCATACAATAATGTGAAACATAATGTAGAAATAATATTTTTCTTTGTCCACAAAGTAATAAGCGTCGTAAGGCATAGATATAGGCCGGGATTCGTTGAGAGGCAGCACGATGTTCAGCAATTTGGGTAAGAGGGTAATTAAAAAAAATGTAGTAGCATTCACAAAAGCAAATACTGCAAAAAAAAACCAAATCATCATTCGACATCCGTTAAAATAAAAATGATATCGAGTGGTTTATCCTTACAGGTGTATGCCAAAGAAAACAGTTTTACATTCATGGCATACGTTTTCATAATTTTATATTCCTCCGCGCTATTCAACTTCTCCCAATCGTCACGCAGATAGTCCGTGAAATATTTTATCTAGAAACACCATTAATGGATGTTGTTAGACAGTCCGACAATCATAAAAGACCGCGATCACGAAGAGTAATAAAATAAGAATAATAAAAGAAGAGTATTATAAAAATAATCATCTTTTGATTAATTTATAATAATTTCGGTATTAACATACTTTGCTACTGTTAAACTGGCATGTGCATATTTTCAAGATAGTCATAATCATCAACATAGATGCTGGTATAGTTAATAGAATACATTGCACGTTTCCGTCGCAGTGAAAAATTTGAGCCACCTAGAAGAATATTCAGACGATTTATAATGCAATTCTCGCAGGAAAAATTTATAATTTTATTTTTACATACCGTGTATTTTGATACGTATGCATTATATTGTATTAATATATATTTTTTACTTCAAAATGATTATCGTTTTATAGACGAACTTAATAGATATAATTCGACAAAATAAACTATATTATACATATATACCCAGTGTATTTTAATTAATTTTTTTACGTCATAAAATTTAAAATTAGTATATTAAATGTATATATTCAAATCTACTATATTAAAAATTTTATGGGAAATTTTTTCGGAACCTGTGGAACGGCCAGCGATAAAGTGATCAGTGATTATAATCATCAAGCTCACTCGAAAAAGCTTCGCTCGCTTTTCCTCATAAAGCCATTAGTCGGAGAAGGACAACATCCTTTTTGTAATATTGTTGTAATCATTCCACACGAATGTCATAATTTTCAAAACAATATTTCATCCTTTGCAACACGCAGTTGACTAAATTTCTTGTGTTATCTTTATTATAAAGAATGAACCAATATTTTACCAGACGTAATGTTCAGTATTGTTATGAAACAAATGTCGGCGCTTAGCTAACGCTAAATATTCATCCAAAGTTCGATTCGTATTTTTAATGTGTCGAATATTCCGGAACAGTAAAAGAATAGTCATAAAATGTACAAATGTTGATGAAATCTTCAGAATATTGTACGAATACTTCTTGTATATACCACGAAAATCACTCGCGAGCGAACAATACATACTCGTATCTCCGACAGAGAGCTACGAAGAAGAGCATTTATTCGTAAACAAGAATCATCTGAAAAAATATAAGGAACGCTGCATTTAGTTTATGACATGAGCCTAAAAATTGGAATCCAAAGTGAAACATATGAAATATGTCCGTTATTGTTTAACAATTTTGTTTAAGAAGTGATTTCGGACGACCGAATCTGAAAATTCTAAAAGAATTCAAATTTTGCGGAATATACATGTATGAAACATTCTCGAAATATGTAACGATATAGGTACAAATGGAATTTTTAACCAATATTTGAATGTTGTTTTTACATTTTGTATATAAAATATTTCAGGATATTTTGAAATATTTTTGGAATGCTTTTTTGGAATTTCAGATACCTTTTATGAATATTTCAAAAAATATTTAGCATTAACTGAGCAATGAGTAATCTAGTAAGCAAGAAATTTTAGAACATTTCAGCAATAATGTTGTAATGTTGCTGCAACGTTACTGAAATGTTTCTAAAATAGAAATCTACTTACTAAGAAGTTTCTTTTAAATTATTTTTCTTATATAAAAATTAAAAATCTATTAATACAAAATTATATTCTGTGTTTCATACCTGAAATTGTGTAGATTACATAAATTACAGCTAACTTCAGAAATAGTGGCATCAGTTTGTGATGCCAAAAAGATTAACATTAAAATCTGTGCACATACATGGTCTGACAATAAAATTCGTAGACTGTAGATATATCTCTTGATAATACTAAAACTTGTTATCTCGCATGATAATTTCCCCTTTAGTAGAACAAGAAATGAATACATTTCAATACTTAAAATAAATATTATGGTTTCTTACCAATTTTTCTATTTTCCATTCCTGTTTATTTCTTCTATATTATTATAAGACTAAGGTGTGAGAATATGGAAGAGGCTGACAAATATTAATTAGATGAGGGAGGGAGAGGTGAGATGCATATTCTGTGCAAAAGGTAGGGATAATATAGAGCATTATGTAAGAGAATGTGAGGAATTGAGAGTGAGGTGCAATAAATTAGGTGAAGAGAAAAGAAAAATTATAGACAAGTTATGGGGTAAGGAGCTGGATGATATTAAGAATAAGGTCATAAAGAAGGATAAGGAGAAAATACTAAGAATGAGAAGAGACAAGAAAGAAAACACTTTAAGTCTAAAAGAGATACGCATAGGTAGATACGCAGATCCGTGACGCAAAGAAATATAAAAGCTATAGGGAGAGGCTGAATAGAAAGAGGAATAAAGACTGAAAAATAAATTAAAGACTGTAAAATAAAACTGTGATGTATAAGTAGTGAAAAATTACTAGTTAAGATAGGACAGAGCAATTTATATTTGTGTAATCCAGATAGAGGAGAAATAAGTGGATAGTAAGCTAAGGTAATAAATAGTAAAATAGTGAAATAATAAAATAATAAAGAACGCGTAAAAAAATAATAGCTCGTGTAAGGAATGGATGGATAAGAAAGGCTAAGAGAAAATTGTAAACCAAGTCCCCTTTTTGGCAAAACATTATATGCTGAAGAGAAATAGATTCTATTCTAATAAATATTTAAGTATAACTTTTTTCACTGCACAATTTCTATTATTATAATATAATTGTAATTGCATACTATCCAAAATTATATATTGATCAATGATCATTGGAAGGAGGCAAGCACGGTAAAATTCGACATCGAAGACTGCATAACCTTTAAAATAAAGGCCTACATGTATATTCTTAAGAGAGACTTCAAAGAAACAAGAAACAACATATAAGTTGCCTAAATAATATTTACCGTGGTGAAGCTCTTCAAAGAGAAGACATAAATCTTGCCGGCGCTCAAAATACAGGGTTCCATGCTCCTTCGCATCACGTGCAGAAGTAGCCTTTGTGTTTCCGCAGGTATTTCATACCAGAAGGAATTATATCTGGGACAACTTTATATCTCAGTCGTCAGCAAATTTTCGGTTTCACGGGATTTTAAGGGATTACATAAAGTCTTACATTTTATCGCTTAATTGCAAGCTGTGGTCAAGCAATCTCTGACCTTGCAGACTGTAGAGGAACGTGTGCAATATATGAACAAAGATAAACGTTAGGTGCCTCAACATTTTATGAATTTCGTCATACTGTAACGCAACCTTGAATATGACAAGCACGATATTTTAAGTTCTTGATTTAGTATATACACTTTGTAAGGATTTTATTTTATAGTATATAGCAAGTGATTTCCAATAATAACCGAATCTTTACGACGTTTTGTTTTTTTAAACAATTTCAGAAATGACCAAAAAATAATTTTTTAATTTTTCACCCCAAAACCTGTGACATGCTAGACTGCTAGAATATTTTTAAATACAGTTTCATAATCTAAGAGAAAACCCTATTAGAATTACATGTCAAGAAATATGGAAAAAGATTAAAAATGTTACGCGCTATTGTTAATCATCATATAACCGCGAGTAATGCAATACAAACGACAAGTAACATCGTATGAAATATGCAGGTACTAAGTTGAATTGCAACAATAAATAGATAGATACGTACTTGTAGTAGAGTAATGCTCAACGCTACAACTATCAGCATTTGTATTGCTAGAGCAGTGCAAAACGTGTCTTCAAGAATCTCTGCGAATCTGTCCAACGGAAACAAATTTTGTACTTACATTTCAGCACTTACATTAGTATAATTCCTAGTTTCGTTTTCATTTATATGTACAACACACGATCTACCTAATATAAGATTGTGCACTTACCGTAAAGCTCGCCAGTGTGCTTGAATTGAGATAGCGATTTTCCGAGGATAGATCTTCCTATCATCCGAACGATTATTCGCATCGTTACGATCATTATACGATAAAGTCTCAAGACGAAATCTGTGAACATTTCAGCCGCAAGTTGCGCTCTCCCGATCAGTCGTGATAGAAACAACGTAAAAAAAAGTATATATAATTTTTCTTACCCAGCCACAGCAAAGAGACTGCAAACATGCTCAGTGTATATAAAAAATGTGCAATCGTGCGCGACTGACACCGTAAGAGCTAAAGTCCCGCCCGTAACTATATGAAACATAATGTAGAAATAATATTTTTCTTTATCCACGAAATAATGGACTTCAAGAGGCATACTTATAGATCGGGATTCATTGAGGGGTAACACAATGTCCAGTAATTTGGTTGGATTAGAGCACGAATAAAAATATACTGCAACAAAACGAAATAATCGTCTGCCATTTGTTAAAATAAAAATAATACAGAAGTATTTGTCTCCTTACTGGAATATGTCAAAGTAATCAATTTTGCGTTCGCAGCATATTTTTTCATAATTTCGTATTCCTCCGCGCTATACAACTTTTTCCAATCGTCACACAGATGATCAGTAAGAGTTCTGATCTACAATAAAAATGCCCTTGTTGAATTATTGAATAATCCGACGATCGTAGAAGATCGCGATCGCGAAAGATAATAAAAATTTGAATAATTGTCGAACAAATATTTAATATAAATTTCGACAGACATACTTTGTTACTGTTAAATTGGAATGTGTATAGTTTCACCATCAACATAAACATCAATATAAGCATCGGTATAATCAGTTCAATACATCGTGCGTTTCCGTCGCAATGGAAAATTTGGGCCACCTAGAAGTATACTTATTCAAACTCACTTTAGATGATTTATAATGCAGTACCGCGGGATAAAATTTTCTATTTTTAATTTCGTGTCATATGTCGTGTATTTTGATACGTGTGCATTTTAAAATACATTCTTTATACAATGATTTCGCAAAATGGTAAAAAGAATCTATCTTGAATTTTGTCGAATTATATATCGTCTATAAAGCGAGCTTAACATATATATATATATATTTAGATATATATGCGCTGTGTATTTTAATTAATTTTTTTACGCAACCTATTGACCTTCAGATTTAAGTTTAGTATAGTGACTAGTAAAAATGTTATGAATAACCTGTGGAATAGTCAGCGATAAAACGATAAAAGTTACCGAGCTCATTCGAAAAAGCCTCACTCGTTTTTCCTGGTAAGGCCACAGGCCGCAGAATAACAACAACTTTTTTGTAATACTGTAGTAATCTTTCCATACGAATGCCATAATTTTCAATGTTTTATCTTCAGCAACACTCAATCGACTAAACTTCTCGTCTTGTCTTCGTTATGAGAAACGAATTAATATTTTAGCAGGTATAATATAGCAAAGTACTACGTACGATAGAAACCTTTGATAGCAATTTTGCGTGTCATGTCTAATAAAATGTGAACGTGAAAGGAAACTTATCAACGGACAGGTCAATTCTTTTCCGTATTGAACATATCGATCGGAATGTTCAAGGAAATAAGATATTCGTCTGACAAGATGCTTTTACGTGTTGCTAGACATAAATTGTATATCTGTTATATACATGTAATTGCTTATACTGTAATGTTCTACGTTCAGTATCGCTACGATCAGTAATACGTAAGTTCTACTTTTTAAATGTTTTATATATAAATACAGAAGTACTGTACAAAATTGTGTTCCGTTACTAATACTTGAAATTGTTTCAATTAGTGATATATGTAAATTACAACACTAACTCCGCAAATAGTGGCATCAGTTTGTGAAGTTCTGGAAAGATTGAAAAAAATCGATGTATGTATACATAGTCTGACAATAAAGTTCCCGGTCTGTGTCAATGAAAAAGGACAGACCTCTCCGCGAATATTACATTATTTTCACGTCAATTTTTATTGGAACTGACAAGACTGTAGTCTCACAATTTAAGGCATCTGTAAATCTAATTGCGATAATATCTTTGTTTGAATTAATCTCTCAATCTAATTGCGATAACATCTTGATTTGAATTATTGACTTCATCGAATTTAATGATGCTTCTTAAAAGTATGATAAAAAGTAAACATTTTCAAGACGACGAGAACATTTAGAGAAACTAATGTTTTAAATAACATTCAAACTACGGACATTAAGAGAAGTTTTAAAGTGTTATATCAAACATTAGACATTTTATTAATCAATATATAAAATAGTATCAAAATTAAAAATTTATATTAATTTCTTGATTGTATAATATGCGTAGCAAATATAACTGAATAGAAGGTATACCAAGTCAAAAATTGAACGAGCCAAAATTAAAACAACCAATATGATTAACTTTATTATCACTGTTCAACTAAAATATAATAAACTAAAATATAATAATTATAGAATGTTTTGAATTATGCGTCAGTTTAAATTATTTTCTTATAGAGTTAATAATCAATTTATGCTCGAAAGGGACTAAATAAAGAACTAAGTGAAGGTAAAAGAATTTCAGATAAATGAAAAAATATAGATGTTTAACATCTTTGATCAATATTTAAGGCATCTTTTCAGCAACATTAAATATTCAAGATACAAATAACAACAGTCAATTTATGTATAATTTTGAAGAATTAACAATAAACAAAGGAATTAGGAGTGTTTAATTTATTAGGAGAATTAAAAAACATATGGTATTATTTTTTTCAACAAGTGCCACCGGGAAATATCGTTAGATGCACAAACAAAGAGCTACTAAACGAATAATAGCATAAAGTATGACATCAAAATTGCAAAATTTTCAAATAAGAGCATTTTGTTTCGTAAAAGAAATACTAAAATGATAAACACACAAGAATTCTGGGCGCATTAACGTGATAAAGCTTCCCAGGCAGTATATAAACATAGATCTCGTCGGTACTTAAAAAACTCGGTTGTACTCTTCAAGAGTTGTCACTCTTCATCATCACTATCACGATTAGTTCCTGTGACGATTAGTCTCGTATGACATGCTAGCCAATAACGTATAATTTTGGCTTAACATTAACTCGAATTTTTCCAATTAAGGATTTAAATCTACTTATTTTTGCAACTCATAATAACGACATTATTATGTATTATATACTTTAGATGCAAATATAATCCAGTTTATAATTAAAAAATAATTACCTGCCTAATATTCTTCCTTCTTAATATTTTTCTTTTAAAATCGAACAAAAAAATGAACATATTTTTTAAAATAAATACCATTTCTTACCCATTTCCCCATTTTCATTTTTGGTTATATCTTCTTATAATTTTTAACTTCCGTAGAAAAATGAGATTAAAAATATATTTAATAACGGTGTTTTAACAGTGTGTAACGTAATTCTATCATAATTAATATGTATAATGTAAATATTATTTCTACTGCACGATCTCCATTACTATAATATAATTGTGGTTGTACAGATACTATCCAAATTACATATTGACCGTTCATCATTGGAAGGATGCAAGTACGGTAAAATACGACACCGAAGACTGCATAACCTTTAAAATAAATGCCAGTATTCTTAGAAGAGACTTCAAAGGAACATATAGTAACATAAACTTCGTAAATAACATTTACCGTGGAGAAGCTCTTCAGAGAGAAGATATAAAGCTTGCCGGCGGTCAAAAAACAGGGTTGCATGCTCCTTCGCATCACGAACAGAAGCAGCCTTCGTAATTCCGCAGGTATTTCATACCAGGACGAATTGTATCTACAACAATTTCAAATCTCAGCCAACAAATTGTCGATTCCACCGATTTTAAATGATTAAAATCTTACACGTTATCGTTTAATTGCAAGCTATGGTCAATCAATCTCTGTCCTTGTACACTGAAGCAGAACGTGTGTGCTACCTGAGCAAAGATAAACCCCAGATATTTCACCGTTTCATGCATTTCGCCATACAGTAATGCAACCTTAAACACGACAAATATTTTATTCTCTTGATTTAATATACAACAAGAATTTTGTTTTACAGTCAATAGCAAGTGATTTTCGATAACGACGAAATTTTAACACGTTTCGTTTTTTTTTCTTTTTAGACAACTTTAGGAAAGAACAATAGTTTTTAAAAAATAAAATTATAAAAGAAAGTAATTACGAGTCAATGCTAGTTGATAATTGCTAACGATTAATCTATCTTTAATTCAATTGATATAAACATTTAATATACAAACGTTACGACCTTTATCAGATCATCCTCACTGTAAAACATAAAACTTACACAATTAAAAATAAAAATAAATTTGAAAGAGTCGTAATATCGGTTACATAATAGTTAATTATTTAAATATAACGCGTTAATGAAGTCATTAATTATCTATAGTTCATATTCTATATTTCGGGGGAAGGATTGATTATGTAGCACGAGGTCGCATGATTAAAATTGAACAAATAAATAATTTTTTTATTTTTCGCCCGATTTTGTTCGAAACTCTGTGATATGTTAGAGATTTTTAAATACAATTTCGTATTTAAAGGATATTCGCATATACCAGAAAAGCCTATCAGAATTATATATCAAGAAATATGAAAAAAATTTAAAAATGTTGCACAGTTAATCAGATATGCAGTTAATCATATAACCGCGAGTAATGCAACACAAATGACAAATAACATCGCAATATGCAGATACCAAGTTGAATTCCGACAACAAATAGGTAGATACGTACTTGTAACAGAGTAATGCTCAATGTTATAGTAACTATCACCATTTGTATTGCGAAAGAAATACAAAAGATGTCTTCAAGGATCTCCGCGAATCTGTCCAATGGAATCAAATTTTACTTAATTCGATATTTCCTGCCTCTTTCTGTTTCTTTAAATGTATAATTCATATTCTATTTAATACAATATTATGTACTCACCGTAAAGCTCGCCAGTGTGCTTGAATTGAGATAGCGATTTTCCGATTGTAGATTTTCCGATCATCTAGACGATTATTCGCATCGTTACGGTCATTAAGCGATAAAGATTCAAGATGAAATCTGTAAACATTTAAGCAGTAGTTCTGCTCTCTGGATCAGTCACGATAGAATTAACGTAAAAAAAATTAGTTTTTCTTACCCAGTCAGAGCAAAGAGACTGCAGACATGTTCAATATAAATAAAAAAAGTGCAATCGAGGCCGACTGTCATCATAACACATATAAACCCGCATCCAATGATATGAAACAAAATGTAGAAATAATATTTTTCTTCGTCCACAAAATAATAAGCCTGGTAGGGAATATTTACAGGCCGGGATTCGTTGAGGGGTAACACGATGTTCAACAATTTTGGCATGAAGGAAAACAATGTATATCCCTGACAGACACAAAGACACAGAACTGCAACAAAATAAAATAATCATTCATCATTCGTTAAAATAAAAAGAAAACAGAGCGATCTATCCTTACTGAAATATGTCATACTAATCAATTTTGCGTTCGTGGCATACTTTTTCATAATTTCATATTCTTCCACGCTATTAAACATCTCCCAATCGTCATATATGTGGTCAGTAAGACTTTTGATCTAAAAATATCTTAAATGAATGTTGAATTATATCTGACAGTTCAACGATTCGAAGACGATCGTGATCGCAAAGGATAACAAAACTTTGAATTTCCAAATATTTAATATAAATTTCGGTAATGGTATACTTTGCTACTGTTAAATTGCCATGTGGATAGTTTCACCAGAAATGTAATCATCAACAAAAACATCGGTATAGTCAGTTTAATACATCGCGCGTTTCCATCACAAAGAAAAAATTGGGCCACCTGGAAGTATTCTTATTAAACTTTTTACTTTAAACGATTTATGGTGTAGTTTCGCGGATAAAATCTGATAAAATTCTATTTTTAATTGTATATGCCGCCCATTTTGATACGCGTGAATTTTAATATAAATTTTGTATTCATTTCGTTAATACTAAAAATAATAAAAAAAATCTATCCTTAATTTTGTCAATTAATATATTGTCTATAGTAAAGTGAGCAAAACAGATATAGATACGTTACGTATATACTGCATACTTTAATTAATTTTTTTTATGCAACTTGTTTATCATCAGATTTATATTTAGTAATGAATTGATGAATGAAAAATTTGATGATGAACCTGCGGAGCAATCTGCGAAAAAATGATCAGAGTCAACGAATGCACTCGAAAAAGCCTCGTTCGTTTTTTCTGATAAGGCCACAGACCGCAAAGTAGCAACAATCTTTTTGTAATACTACAGTAATCTTCCCATATGGATGCCATAATTTTCAAAGTAACGTTCTACCTTTAGCAACACGCAATTGACTAAACTTTTTGTCTCGTCTTTGGTATGAGGAACGAATTAATATTTTAGCAGGTGTAATAGAGAAAAATACTATGTACGATGGAAATCCCTGACAGCAATTTTGCGTGTCACGCTTGATAAAAGGTGAACGTGAAAGGTAACTTATCAACTGGGGGATGGGGTAACTTTCTTCCGCGCAGAACGTATCGATCGGAATGTCCAAGGAAATAAGAATTCCTCTGACAAGATATGTTTACGTGTGTACTTAGTTGCCAGATATAAATATTGTTTCTATCATATGTAGTTGCCTATACATTGTTAGTCAACGTTCAATAACCGCTACGAAACGAGTGTCGGAGATAAGTAGAGGAAAGCTCTAGTGGAGAAGGCTCTATTATGAGATACCAAGTTCATTTTGGATAAATGCTAGAAGTCTATGGGCAGAATTTAAAAAGATAGGTCATTTTGAAAAAAATTCAATAAACTTTAAGGTAATGTTATATTAAATTATATTTAATTAAAGTTAAAAAATTGTGCTCCTAATATGAGATGCCCCGAGACATCGATAATAAAACGCAAAGGTCACAGCCAGTGTTCGCGCAAAATGAGCATGCGATGCATTGTACTCGGGACTCGTCCTCGGATAGTTGGAACCAAGCATCACAGAAACAGACACTCGATGTTCATTCCGATTTTGTTCTTTTTATTACTGTACAATAACATTTATATTTTAGCAACAATTTTCACTATGACATAGGAACGTAGGTTGTTTCAAAAAAATACTCTGGGTATATCTCATATTATGATTTCCACGCCTTACGGTTTTACGATCATCAAATCTAACTTCTGTAATTAAGCAATTCAACATATCCCGTATTCTTTTATTAATACGATTTATTATTACTCTATCACTACATGAAGAATGTATTGCAAAATATTTATTTATTAAATAATAAACAAAGTTTAAAGATTCATCTTAATAAAACTTAAAGACATCCAAATTCTAAAATCTTATTTCTTACAACGACTACAGGCATGATCTAATAATGAATTTCCCACTAAATCATTTTTAATTCAAGAACAATAAATTCATGGTGGATCCAAAACATTCATGGTGGTGTCTAATACTTTTGGCCAAGACTGTTTATACGAAATATTAAATGTTAAAGATACACATAACAACAGTCATTTTATGGATAATTTTGATAAAAAATTAATGATAAACAATGGGATTAGGAGTGTTTAATTGTATTAGAATTAAAGACATATGGTATTATTTTTCTCGACGAGTGCCACCGGGCATAATATCATCAGATGCATAAACAAAGAGCTACTAAACGAATGAGAGCACCGTAAAGTATCATCGAAATTCGCAAAATCTTCAAAATAAGAGCATTATGTATCGTAAAAAAAATACTATGACAAGCACACGATAATTCTGCGCGTATTAACGTGGTAAAATTTCCCAAACAATACGAAGTCGATTAAAAGTAGACTATAAGTTGATCGAATGTCGACTAATAGTCGACTAATACTTGACGAATGTCTCAAAAAAATCGACTAAAAGTCGACATTCCAAGTCAACTGTCGACATAGAATTACTCTACGTCAACTAGGAACAGTCGATTTTAAGTCGACCTTTAACAATCAACTATATGCCGATTGGAAAAAAGTCGACTACATATAAGTCAATAAACAATCACTCGTGTTGTTTGGGTTTCCAGGCAATACCTAAATATAGATCTCGCCGGTGTTTAAAAAACTCGGTTGTACATTTTTTATCATCACCATGACAATTAGTTTCTGTGATCTCGTATGACATGCTAGCTAATAACGCATGATTTTGGCTTAACATTAAATGGAATTTTATCAATTAAGGATTTAAAACTACTTATTTTTGCAACTCACACTAATGACATTATTATGTACTTTAGATGTAAATATAATCCAGTCTATAACTAAAACATAATTACCTGCCTAATATTTTCCTTCTTAATATTTTTATTTTAAAATCGAACGAAAAATGAACATATTTCAACACTTAAAATAAAAAAATCATTACTTATCCATTTCTCTGTTTTCATTTTTGCTTATATCTTCTTATAATTCGTAACTTCCATGAAAAAAATGAGATTAAAAATATATTTAATAACGGTATTTTTTATCAGTGTATTACGTAATTTTTTCATAATTCAAGATTCGAATCTACGATTCGAATCTCGTTTTTGTTTTTGCAAATCGCGCTATCGACATTACTATATATATATATATAATATGAAAATATAATCTAGTCCATTATTAAAAATCTGTTACCTTACCAATATCTTCCTATTTAATATTTTTCCTTTAAAATCGAATAAAAAATAAACATATTTCAACATTTTAAACAAATACCACGTAATATGTTTCTTACCCATTTCTCTATTTTCCATTTTTGCTTATTCCTTCTTATAATTTGTAACTTCCATGAAAAAACGAGATTAGAAATATATATAACAACGCTATTTTAACAGTGTAGATAACTCGTTCATAATTAATAAGTATAATGTAAATATTATTTCCACTGCACAGTCTCTACTATAACATAATTTTGGTTGCACAGATACTATCCAAATTATATATTCACTATTAATCATTAAAAAGACGCAAGGACGGTAAAATACGACACCGAAGACTGCATAACCTTAAAAATAAGAGCCGATATTAAGAAAGTCTTCAAAGAAACAAGAGACAACAGTAAAGTAAATAATCTTTACCGTGGTGAAGCTCTTCAAAGAGAAGACATAAATCTTGCCAGCGCTCAAAAAACAAGGTTCCATGCTCCTTCGCATAACGTGCAGAAGCAGCTTTTGTGATTCCACGGGTATTTTATACCAGGACGAATTGTATCTGGAACAACATTGTATCTCAGTCATCAGCAAATTTGCAATTTCACTAAATTTAAATGATTATAAAATCTTACATTTTGTCGCGCAATTGCATGCTGTGATTGATCAATCTCTGACCTTGCAGACTGAAGCAAAACATGTGTAGTACTTGACCAAAGATATACATTAGGTACTTCAACATTTCGTTAATGTCGCCATATTGTAACGCAACCTTAAACGCAAAAAAATATGATATTTAAATCTCTTGCTTTAGTATACACATTGTACAATAAGGATTTTGTTTCGTGGCATGGTGGCAGGTGACATCTGATAATACTCGAATTTTTATGGCGTTTTATTGTTTTAAACAATTTCGAAAATGGTAAAAAAAAAAAACAATTTTTTAATCTTTCAATTCAGTTTTTCTCGAAAACCTAACATGCTACAGAGTATTTTTAATTACAGATTCGTAATCTACGGAAAGAAACCTACCAGAATTACCTGCCACATGTCAAGATTCATGAAAAATGCACAGCTAGTGCCGTTAATTATACAATCACGAGTAATGCAACACAAACGACAAGTAGTATCACAAAAAATATGCAAATACCAGTTTGAATTGCAATAATAAATAGACATACTTGTAGTAGACTAATGCTCAATGTTACAACATATATCAGCATATGTACTGCGAAAGCAGTGCAAAAGAAGTCTTCAAGAATCTCCGCGAATCTGTCCAATGCAAACAAATTTTGTAGTACTTATATTAATGGTATGAGAATATAAGGTACTTCATTGCGCATAATAACCGGAAGACTAAATTAGGACAATTAATCAAATATTTGTCCTAAATCAGAACAACCAATAATCCTTATCCTAAATTTGGGACAACGCTTTGATTGGTTAAAGAGCATAGCCACAATGTTGAAAACTACTGTGCATTGTTGGGAATAAAATACCTTATATTCTGGTACCATGCTTACATCGATTTAATTTTTTGTTTTTCTGTCTTTAAATGTGTTCACGTTCTATTTAATATTGTGTAGGGGAAAGTAGGTGAATTGTGCGCACCCAAGGGAAATTTATTGTCCTGGAATGGTTTTCCAGATTTAAAGCGATATAAGTATAGAAATAGAAACTATAAACATTCTTCTATTACGTATTCTCATATCGAACAGATTTTCATTCAATAAAGTTGTATTTGACCAAAAGGAAAAGCGAAAAAATTTCTCGCGCCTCGGGTAATTGCGCTAAACGAAAGTCGTAAGAAATGAATGAATTGTGAAATGATGACAAAGAAATCAGTAAATATATTTGTTATATTGCAATATAAATATATGTCAAATATATTTTAAATATATATTATATATATTAAGAAAAAATACAAAACTAATATAATAATAATACACATAGACTTTGGCAAAATAAAATGGCAAAATAAAATAATAGAATCAAGAAGATACGAAAAATTTGTGCTAGTGATATACTATATGGAAGATGGGTAATTGTGCGCATTTCAAAACGCTTGCGCACAGTTGCCTGACTCGGTATGAAATATGATTATTTCAACAAACTTAATAAATAACAGAAAAGATACACATAATAACGTACTTTAATAACATATGCAACTTTAAACAGACGAATTAAAAATACGGACTTACCACCTTATTTTCTGAATTAAATAACAAGAAAAGATATGATTTGAAGACATTTTTGTATTTCTCTGGCTAGCAAATGTATTTACGTCGTATCTTTTGTAGTTATATTATAAGAGGACAACCTTCTAAAGTTTTACACACAGTGATGTCTTCATCTATTGGAAAAGTATCAAACCAGGATGCGCACGATTACCCGCGCACAATACCCTTACTTTCCCCTACTCACCGTAAAGCTCGCCAGTGTGCATGAACGGAGATCGCGATTTTCTGATTGTAGATCTTTCGATCATCCGGACGATTATTCGCCGTAATGTTAAGATTATTACGTGATAAAGTCTCAAGACGAAATCTATAAACAGTTTTAAGTGACAATTCGATCAGTCGTGATTCAAACAACGTAAAAAAAAAAAAGAAAAAAACTACTAGTTTTTCTTACCCGATCACAGCAAAGAGACTGCAGACATGCTCAATGTAAATAAAAAGCACACAATCGTGCGCGAGTAAAGCCAATAGAGCTATAGTCAAACACGTAGTAATATGAAACATAATGTAGAAGTAATATTTTTCTTCGTCCACGAAATAATAGGCACTATAAGGCATAATTATAGGCCGGGATTCGTTTAGAGGTGACACGATGTTCAGTAATGTAGGCATGAGGGAAATTAATAGAAACATACATAAGCACAATAAAATATGTACTGCAACGAAATGGAATAATCGTCCGTAATTTGTTAAAATAAGAATAATAAAGAGCGATTTATCCTTACAGAAATATGCCAAAGTAATCAATTTTGCGTTCGTGGCATACTTTTTCATAATTTCATATTCCTCCGCGCTATTCAGCTTGTTCCAATCGTCATACAGTTGATCAGTAAGACTTTTGATCTAAAAATGCTCTTGATGAATTTTATCGGACAATCTGACAATCGTAGAAGATCGCGATTATATAAGGGATAATAAAAAGTTGAATAATTATCTTTCGATCAAATATAAATTTCGGTATTGACGTACTTTACTACTATTAAACTGGCACGTATATAGTTTCATCAGACATATAACCAATAACATAAACACCGGTATGATCAGTTGAATACATCTAGTGTTTTTATTGCAATAAAAAATTTGGGCCACCTAGAAGTATACTTATTAAAACTTTCTTTAAACGATTTGTAATGCAGTTTCTCAAGGTAAAATTCTATTTTTAATTTTTTATATTCTGATACGCATGTATTTCATTGTACATCTTTTGTATATTATTCATGAGAAAGAATTTTATTCTGAATTACGAGTATATATCGTCTATAGGGCGAGCTTGGGTGAACTTCCGAAAACCTGAAAACTCCGGTTTTCTTGTCAATTGATGTGCAACTTATTTTGATTACGAATATGATCATGAAAATTATCGACAAGGTCATTTTCAAAGTCAAAGTCAAATCTGGAAAAACCGATTTTTTGGACATTTTTTTTACATTTGACATTAAAAATGATCTTATCAATCATTTTCATAGTCATATTCGTAATCAGCGCACCGAAATATAGTTGTATACCAATCGATAAGAAAATCAGAACTTTCAGGAAGGCTTTTTGGAAGTTCACCCTCGAGCTTAATAGATACGTGTACAATGCGTATATATTAATTAATTTTTTTATGCATTCTATTGAATCTATGCATCAGAAAACTAGTATGGCAAACACACACACACACACACACACACACACACACATATATATATATACAGAGTAGAAATTTTTTATGAGAAACTTGTCCGAAACCTGTGGAACAATCAACGAAACGATGATCAGAGTCACCGAGCTCGCTCGGAAAAGTCTCGTTCGTTTCTCCTGATAAGGCCACTGGCCGCAGAGTAACAATATCCTTTTCGTAATGCTGTAGTAATCATTCCACATGAATGCCATAATTTTCAAGCAACGTTTTACCTTTGGCACACAATCGACTAAACTTCTCGTCTTGTCTTCGTTACGAGGAGTGAATTAATATTTTAACAGGTGTAATAGAGAAAAGTATTACGTACGATGGAAACCTTCGATAGCAATTTTACGTGTCATGTCTAAAAGGTGAATGTGAAATAAATAAAAAGTGAATGTGAAAGGAAACTTATCAACGGGCAATTTTTTTCCGCACTGGATCATAGACATATCGATCGGAATATTCAAAGAAATAAGAATTCCTCTGACAAGATGTGTTTACGTGTACTTAGTTGCCAGATATATATATGTTGTATTTGTTATATATAGTTACCTATAGGTTGTACGAGTACCTCCGTATATCGTTTTGTCTTGTACGTCATATCGTTTATGTTCAAAGTAACTATGACGTTTCTTTATTTCTAATCTTTTTTAGTTCTGACACCTTCCAACTGCAAACTTTTGATATACTCTGGGCATTCTTAGGATATTTCTTGAAGAACTGTGTGATAAAAGGATTTGAATATGGCAGAATATCTTAAAATATTAATTGATATTAATCTACTGATATCTGTGATGTGAATACTACTTCATCAATATGAGACAATTTAAGATATCCTCACGATAAAGTGTGCTGTATAGGGTAAGTTCTATCTACTTTAAAATTTTTTTTATAAAAATATTAATACTGTACAAAATTGTATTCCGTTATTAATACTTGAAATTGTTTCAAGTTATATGTATATGTATAAATTATAACTTTGCAAATAGTGGTATCAGTTTGTAACTCTAAAAAGATTGACGATAAAATCGATGTAGGTATACGTAGTCTGACAATAAAGTTCCTGGACTAAGGCAACAAAGAAACACAAATCTATCCGAATATTATGTTATATTTTATCTTTCAAAGTAATCCTGCATGACGTCAGTACACTTGATTGTCGCGTCGCTTGAGATTTTCTCCGGTTTTAAGGTCAATGCATCTAATTTACCCGGAGATCGGAGATCAGATTGTGCGGTTAAGGATATTCGCTGGGAGGGGAATTGGATAATTGCTCGGAAGGACGATTTTGAACCCGGTGCCAAAAAGGTTACGGAGTTTATAGGCGAATCTGCGGAAATCGGCCTTTTGGATGTCTTTATAATTAGGAAACGCGAGGTTGATTTCCAACCGTTTGAGGGAATATGTATTTGCGCGGGGTGAGTCTTGCGGGTTTTTTTGGTCTAGGAACTGCGCTAATTTTTGGAAATAGGGGAAAGGATCGTGATTAGAAATGAGAGCTGTTTTAATTTGAAACCTCAATCTCTTTTCTTGCTGTCTTCGTCCGCTTTTAGTTAGCATGGAGGTAACGCAAAGAAATTAATGATTCGAAGGAGTGTCGTAAGACGGGGGCCACGCTATTGGCAGCGACAGTCGTAACAGCTTCTCGGATACTCACATATATATATATATATATAGTTTAATAAAACGCAGAGCAGAAATTCAGGTTTCAGCCGATTTAGTTTAGTTTTCTCGTTTAATGAATAAGACAAAAACAAAGGAAAGAAAAAAACAATGAGTAGGTTACTTGAGCGCGAGGATGGTTCTCGCCTTGATTATGTCGGACAAGTACTATTTTTGCTCTTTTACGCGCTCGTTCTTTCTCTCTCATCGTTCCTGCTTTTGGCAGGTCCTTTTATATTTTGGAAATGAATGTGGGAGTGTCCCTTAAGGACCAATCAATGCTCCTCAAGGTTTGGTAGAACCTATACTCGCGCTTATTTCCTTAAGGTAAGGCAGCAAGGCTCCGCGTAAGCCCTACTCCCAGCTCTACAAGTTTAATCTTAAGATAATAGTTGAGAGTTTTAATAATTTATAATAAAAGTTCGATTTTACTCAACTAACATCCTTATGCAAGGTGAAGTAATGATATATTTTAAATTGGTTTTAATTTTATAGAGAAAAAGAAAAAGGGAAAGAAAAAAAAGAAAAATAAAAATATTCATCCTCGCATTCTCGGAAAGTCTTAATATATACTATTATTTAATATATAATACTACTTAATATATAATACTACTTAATTATTAGGCGTATATGTTATTGTTTAGTTATTATTTTAGAAAAAAGAACCTTCAAAAGAAAAGGAAAGATTGTAGAATAGATATTCTTTATCTATGTGACGCGTGAGCTATCTGTTGGTTTGAATGTTTAAATAAAGAAACTAAATATGCCCTGCTCTAAAAAGGAAAAGAATTTTACAATACATATAAATTTTATATATATATAATATACATAAAAGAATTTTACAATATGTAAAAGATAAGTTTCGAAATAAAGATAAAATAGAGACAAAATATCAAAACTAAGACGAAATACTAAACTAGAGATAAGATAAAGATAAGGTATAAGTCGTATATTTATAATAAGGAAAGAGAGAATTTTATCGGGATGTAACATGTTTATATTTTCGATATAAAAAGTAAAATTTTTTTAATTCCGTAGTTGAAATGTGTTTAGATCACTAGTCACATTTTTCTAAATATTCTTGAAATTAATGTTTAATTTTCATGATGATTTTGAGCTTTGGAAACAGCATAAAATCCGAAAAAGCCAGTTCTCTCTCGGCAGTTAAAATAAGTAGCTAATCTCAATAACCTCTTTCTTAATCAATTGCACGACAAGAAAAGGATTGTTAAGATTAGCCACTTATTTTCTTATTAAATTTGGCTTTTTCAGATTTAATGAAGCATGATAAAAAATAAACATTTTCAAGATGACGAAAACATTTAGAGAAACTAATGTTTTTAAATAATTCCAATCACAGATTTTAAAAAAGTTTTATATCAAAGATATTGATTTCTCATAAAGGATTACTTTGAAAAATAAGATATAATAATTTGTTATCTGAGAGTCTTTTTTATTGCTGCAGTTTGAGATTTACAATCTTGTTAAAAAATATTAGATATTTTATTAACAGTATTTATAGGTTTGGCTAAAAAATCGATTTATGGTATCTGTTGAAAATTATTCTTTTTTATAAAAAATCCTTATAATGACGATAACTAATATAGATAATAATGCAGGATAAAAAAATCCAAATAAGTGAAAAAAATACAATATATGTGCCTAATATTTTTGATTGTATATATGATCTTTCTTTACACATATTCGAGATACACTTAACAGTTAGCTAACTTTAAGTATATATATATA